GCCCACCCCCCCTCCCCATTGGATGTTATATGGCGTGAGGACACGCCTTCCGGAGGGGGGCGTTATGTCAGACTCTGTTCCATGTTTTGTGTGTGTCCTGCTCCCCATGTGCCTTCCCATGCCCTTATTTGGTTAGTTTCCTGTTCCTCCCCTGATTAGTGTTTCATTGCTCCCAGGTGTGTCTCGTCATCCCCTCCTCCTGTGTGTATAAATAGTGTTCCCAGTCCTAAGTTCTCTGTCCGCTGTTAAACGTCTTCCTGAGTTCGTCTCCCTTGGTTCCTGAAAATAAAGTCTTGATAAAGTATTCTCCAGCGTCTCCTCGTTCCTCGTGTGTGTGCATCGTGACAGCATTATTAATATTAAATATATTTTCATTTTATACTACTGCACAGTGAAATTACAGTATTTACAAAAAATGCAGTATTTAATAAAACTTCTGTTTTACATTTTATTTATATTGTATTTGAGAAGCCCCAAACTAAAAGTGCTTCAATACAGAGGGTTTTCAAACTGGAGAAAAATGTAAAGAAAAACCGGGGGGATGAAATGAAACGAATGAAGATTAAAATAAAACAATTATTAAAAAGTGTTCAAATAAAAACTAATAATAATAAAGACTAAAATAAATAAGATATTTTTTAAATTATAAATGTATTTACAATAATTTTTTAGAATTATATTTAAATAAATAATACACATTATTTTACAATAAACAGATTGCCTCAAATAAATCACAAAAATATAATAAAATAAATAGATTAATTAATAAAACATTTAGAAATATGAAAAATATTACATAACAAAAACTACACGAGTAAACAATAAAATAAATTAACATAAATATATACAAAATGAATTTAATTATTTTTAATTAATTAAAAGAGTACAGTACTATACTGAGTAGGGGAAAAAAATAATGTAACCACTACATAGTTATATATAAGATCTAAATATTTTCCAAATAATATTTTACACTTACAGTGTTCATTTTTCACAGTATTAACTGGGTTTTTATACATGGAAATATACAGCTTCCTTTTAAATGTCAGGATGGGGGTCTGATCATATTTGGGGACCTTTGACGTCTAAACTCTTGAAACATAAAACAAGGAAGGAATATGATCAGTGTTTGTGTGCTGAATGAATGAATACCTTGGTGATGAGCAGCGGCTCGTGATGCTCCAGTCCTCCTCTGAGAGTGAAGCCCCACGGAGAGCCTCCGGTGAGACACAGCTCCACAGACCCCACAGACCCCACACCTGCATCACCTACAAGCTCTCCTGATACTACTGCACCACCCACTCTGCTCACAGTCTCCATCACACACACTCTCTCTCATTCTGTGTCATCTCGGTCTTCAAACACGTTCCCAGCGAGAACAGAAACGACAGAAATGGAGAGAGCTATGACTCCACCGGCGTGTTTCAGTCTTTCTGAGCTTCAGCAAACTCCATTGAGATCAGAAGAGCAGCGCCACCTGCTGGCCGCTTCATTATCACGTCCCTTATTGTGTTTTTTAATTCTTGAAATAGATGTAGGAAATAAATTCAGGGAATAATATCAGAATAAATACACATACCTGTATATAAAGTTGAAAATGTATATAAAATATTTTACATTTATTGAATACCGACCAAACAAACAAACAAATTAATGAATGAATCAATCAATAAATTCAGGAAATAATGTCAGAATAAAAACAAGCAAAGTTGCAAATTCATATAAAAGATTTAAGAATTATTGTATGTATTTAGTTTATTTGTCCAAACATGCAACAATAAGTAAATGAATTAATTAATTCATTCATTCATTCATTCATTAAGGAAATAATATCAGAATAAATACACACAGAAAATTGGAAATTCATATAAATTATTTTAAATTTATTGAATATGTTTTATTTATTTATTTATTTGACAAACAAATTAACGAATAAATTAATTCATAATTATAAATCTATATTATAAATGATTACATAATTAAATAAATAATTAAATTATGTTAGAAATTTAGGAAATAATGTCAGAATAAAAACACATAAGGTTGCAAATTCATATAAAACATTTATAATTTATCGAATATATTTAATTTATTTAATTACATGAAATATGAAAAATAAAAACAATATTGCATGTTGGAGGAGACATAAAAACAATTAAATGTTTTTAATTTAATAACTAAAATGAAAGTGAAGTAACTTTTCTTGTAATGAAAAACAATCAGTATCTTGTTCTATAAATCTGTTTCGTTCTAGCGGATAACAAATTTAACAAACAAACAAGCAATAAATAAATAATATATTTTTGTCTCTAATGTGAACTTTTGCGAGACAGTCACAATTCTCTTCTGGTCCAGCAGAGGTCAGAGTGAGATTAAAATGTTCTCCGTGAAATTCTTCTTTTTTTTTTTGCTGTGATTTTTCATCTTTCTGTGACTTGAAGTCTGCATAATAAGTGTGAGGCTAAAACTGTGAGATCCGCTTTGTGTTCAGGGATTCTGGGCTGTTTTATAGGGTGATATCAGGTAAAATGGGCCAATTAAGGTCTGAGTGTCTTATTTCTTTAAAAGTTAACAGCCAATGACTGCAAAGAATTTCAAATTGTGGCCATAACAGTACTTGATATTTAGCAAAGGATTTTATTGGTCTGAGGTTGCTAAGGGGGAGGGGCAATGCCTCGTTTTGAGACCAGGCCAGAAAAAAAGCAAGCTGAGTGGCCTGACATATCCAATCTTACTTAATAATAAGGTTGATAAATCAATAAAAAACAACTGCACATTTAGAAATAATGATTCATAACCTATGTCTTGATGGCCTCTGTGAGATAAAATGCCGATTTTGCTAAATAATACAGATTTTTATATAAAAAAAGCATTTTTAGTCGGCCCAATTTACCTGAATGTGTTAAGATAAAATGAGCCGTTAATTTCAGTTAAAATGGGCCACCTTCTGAATTGAGTTTAAGCAGAAATGTTGGTGGTTTCTCTTATTAAAAATTATTTATATTATTAATATATTGTATTATTGAATTTGTGACATACCTTTTTCACATTTTACCTTCTAAATGTGTTTGTATGTGATGTGTGTTTATGTGTGCTGGACTATGTTTGCGTGTGTTATGTGTGTTAAAGAGAATGGCATTTTTGATGATGACGGCTTTATCTGTCAAGACTGTTTTTTAAAAACCTTCAGATCGCGCGCACACACTCACTCACTCACTCACTCACACACACACACACACACACACACACACACACACACACACACTTTTATGAAATGTATGTTTTATTGATGAAATTGATTGAAAGGTTTGAGTGTCTTACCTCTTCTGTTCGAAATTATTTACAGTCATTGGCTGTTAACTTTTAAACTGTTGCCATAACACTACTTGTTATTGTTATTGTTACATTTTTTAATTAAATTTGTTTTATTGATTAAATTAATTGAAATTGATGTTCTAATGTAATTTAATAGCAATGTTACACTGTTACATTATAAAATTAAATATAATTAAATGTGTTTTATCAGAAATGTCTCTATTTCACATTGCAGTTTGACTGGCCCATTTTTGCTGATCAGCCGGCCCATTTTACCTGAACACTGCTATATCAAAAAATGTGGGGCAGCTAATGTTTCAAAACCTGTAGGGCCTGAACAATTATATTTTATTACATCAATTCAAAACCTATACTGACATAAAAGTACAGTAAACACATGACTTACAGAACATAACACAGCGCACAAATCGAGACGGAACAGGAGATTGTGACAGATCGAGCGTGCTATAAATAAAGTCATTCTTAGGAACTAATTTAAGTTCCTAAGAATGAGGAAATTATTTCATAAAACGGTTTAAAAGAATTGAATCAAACTGCATATTTTCTGGTGTCACAAATTTTAAATTAGACTATGAGTGCTTAATGTAACATTTATCTTGTGTGTAGCGTTTGTCATTAAATGTTTATGTGCATGAGCATTTTTATTTGAATTGCTTTAATTTGTAGAATAGAGAAATACGTCACAGCTTGTTCCTCATTTTGGGTGTCTTCCTGCATTATTTATAATCGTTCTGCTTTTAGACGTTTTTGTATTGAATCTTCAGTCTTCGTAAGGAGACTTTATTCAAATCGAACATTTATTAATTCATAACTCTGCCATGAATCTCACATTTTCACTCACGGTGTTATTTCTGCTGTATCTGAAAGGTAGGACTCATTCATTCAATCATTTGTTAGTCTTTATTGTGTTCTTTGTAACACCTCCAGTGCTACAAAACTACTTTGACTAAGCACTACATGTAATTTCATTTCAATTAATTTTCTTTAGGTAAATTGTAAATGTTCCCCTTTTTTGACACATTTTCTGATTTGTGTTTCAGGTTTATTTGGTCAGACCGACGCTGTGATTTTTCGCTCTGGATCAGTTTGTGCTCCTGCAGGATCAACTGTGGCTCTGGGGTCCAATTGTTTATATCCTGGATGGATATTTCAGTCATGGAAACACAGAATAAATAATACTGAAACTCTAGCAGATCCCAGCATGGACTCCCGATACAGATCTATAAAAGAGTTTCACAGGTGTTACCTACTAATTCATGGACTAAAAGAGACAGACGCTGGCACATATTACATGAGCTTCATTTACAGAGAAGGAGACATCATCTTTACCTCGAATAGTCGATCAGAATTCACTGTACATGTCACAGGTAAATATTACTCTACCCCGATTCATTTTCTCTTGGTATGAATCTTCCATTTCCATTCTAGAGAGAGAGAAATCTGATATATGTGACCCTGTGCCACAAAACCAGTCATAAGGGTCAATTTGTCGAAATTGAGATTAATGCATCATCTGGAAGCTGAATAAATCATCTTTCCATTGATGTATGCTTTGTTAGGATAGGACAATATTTGGCTGAGATACAACTATTTGAAAATCTGGAATCTGAGGATGCAAAAAAATCTAAATATTGAGAAAATCATCTTTAAAGCTGTTCAAATGAAGTTCTTGGCAATGCATATTACTAATCAAAAATTAAGGTTTGATATATTTACGGTAGGAAATTTACCAAATATCTTCATGGAACATGATCTTTACTTAATATCCTAATGATTTTTGGCATAAAAGAAAAATGGATCATTTTGACCCATACACTGTATTATTGGCTATTGCTACAAATATCCCTGTGCTACTTAAGACTGCTTGTGTGCTCCAGGGTCACATATAGAGACAGATGTGTGTGTTGTATTAGATCTTCAGGTGTCTGTGGACTCTGATCGTGTGACTGAAGGTCAGAACGTCACACTCACCTGTAAGACCAGCTGTCCTCCAAAACAAACCTTTATCTGGTTCAAGAACGGGCTTCGTTTGGATCTCTATAATTCCGGTGATCAGCTGCATGTTTCTGCGGTGAGCCGTGAGGATTCAGGCCGATACTCGTGTGCACTGGAACGCTTTGAAACGTTCCCGTCGGCCGAGACGCTCCTCGATGTCACCTGTGAGTAAAACATGAGAAAAACGCTTGATCTATGTGTCATTGTGCATCCTACCGATAGCACGCGTACATCACGGAGATGTCTATCCAACATCTGCATTTAAATCTGCAATATGTATTTTTTTAGTGTTTACTCATCTGCAATACATCTGTCAGATGTCAAATAGACGTTTATTAGATGTCTTTAAGATGTTTGTGATTTAGAATGCATGTAAAACTAACATCTTAAAGACGTCTGTCAGATGTTTGTACACAGCAGATGCTTTCCAGATCAAGTGATCTTTAACAGATCTGATATGATGAGTAATATTAGCATTTAAACCCTGTAAAGCCTGACATTTGAAGGAATAGTTGAACATAATTTAATTAAAAAAATTAAAAACCTAAGAATGAGGAAATTATTTCATAAAACGGTTTAAAAGAATTGAATCAAACTGCATATTTTCTGGTGTCACACATTTTAAATCATGAGTGCTTAATGTAACATTTATCTTGTGTGTAGTGTTTGTCATTAAATGTTTATGTGCATGAGCATTTTTATTAGAATTGCTTTAATTTGTAGAATAGAGAAATACGTCACAGCTTGTTCCTCATTTTGGGTGTCTTCCTGCATTATTTATAATCGTTCTGCTTTTAGACGTTTTTGTATTGAATCTTCAGTCTTCGTAAGGAGACTTTATTTAAAGCAAGCATTTATTAATTCATAATTCTTCAGATCAAGTGATATTCAACAGACATATTGCAGACGTATGTGTGCTATCTGTTTCTGCCACTGAATAAAAAATAAAACAAGGTAATTACAACTTATCTCACAATTGTGACTTTATTTCTCACAATTGCAAGTTTAAATCACACAATTATAAAATACTATTTTCTTACAATTGCTAATTTATGTCACGCAATTCTGATTTATAACTCAAAATTGCGAGTTTATTGCTTAGAATTGTGTTCATATCTCACAATTCAGACTTTTTTCATCCTCAGAATTATGAGATAAACTTGCAATTTTGAGTTATAAAGTCTAATTCTGAGGGGAAAAATACTATTTTCTTCAATTGCGAATTTGAATCACGCAATTCTGTTTTAACACAAAATTGCGATTTTTTTTTTGCCCACAATTCTGACTTTTTTTTTTCACATAAAGATTTTTTTTTCTTTATAAAGTCCAATTCCGAGGGGGGAAAAGACTATTTTCTTACAATTGCTAATTTATATCACGCAATTCTGATTTTATAACTCACAATTGCGAATTTATATTAATATTTATATTTTTTATGTCTCCAGATGTGGCGTATGAGAGCGCTGGAATCATAATATTGTCGTCGCTCCTGATTCCTGTCGTTCTACTGCTGGTTTGTGCTGCTCTGTGGATGATGTGAGTTTGTGATCTAGTTCTTCTTTACATCTCTTCGTGTTCATCTCAACTGCAGTCACGTTTACCGCTGTTTGCGATTTTTCGCGGTCATATGAGTCCACGCGATTGGCAATTTTTCGTATTGGGTTCAGTTTGTCACAAAAAATTAACAACGTTGACCAACAGAAAAATGTTTGACTTCTGTGTGAGCTGTGCTTCATGCATCCCTGCACTATTGATATAGGCCATATGGCCTTTTTGCCCGTGAAATATTGCTAATGTCTCAGGTTACTTATGTAACCATGGTTCCCTGAGTAGGGAACGAGACACTGCGTCCTCTAGGGGTCGCTATGGGGAACGCCTTGTCGTGACCCGTGTCTGAAGCATACACTGAAAAAACACCAACAACACGTTGGCCGGCGACAGCCCATGACATCATTACCGGTGCGATTATAGTATAAATAGGCGCTGGGAGAACATGTCATTCACTTCTTCGTCTGAAGCTTGAGTTCGAAGCATGGCAGGAAGCCTAGAGGACGCAGTGTCTCGTTCCCTACTCAGGGAACCATGGTTACATAAGTAACCTGAGACGTTCCCTTTCAAGGGAATTCGAACTGCGTCCTCTAGGGGTCGCTATGGGGAACGATATACCCACGCCGCCATGCTGAGGGGAGTGCGGGCCAGAACCATGGCGAGCACTAAGTACCAACTTTACCATTTTCATGGTGAGTTGACGCTTCAAACAAAACGGTCAGTGAAGATGAAGAAGAGAATGGCATGTTCTCCCTGCGCCTATTTATACTATAGTCGCACCGGTAGTGATGTCATGGGCTGTCGCCGGCCAACGTGTTGTTGGTGTTTTTTCAGTGTATGCTTCAGACACGGGTCACGACGAGGCGTTCCCCATAGCGACCCCTAGAGGACGCAGTTCGAAGTTCCCTTGAAAGGGAACGTGACCATACCTTCATAACTGCGCAGATGTCATGTTTATGTTTTCTTCTTAACAGAAGGACAAAACAACAAAACCTCAAAAGACCTGAAGTAAAAGAGCAAAGCAAACAGGTAAACCTAAACTGTTTTTAATAGACTGACGTGTAAAACCAGTTTCTTAACTTATTAACTTTTGACTTGTCTTTTCTTCAGAATGAAAATGTGTACGAAAATGAATCAATACCGCCTGTGACCTTTGACCTGGAGGAGAAAGTAAAGTCAGTTCATCAGGAGGAGGAAGTTCAGTACTCTTGTGTTCATTTCAGCAAATTTACAAACGCCCAATGTTCTGCAACTTGTGAAAAGGAAGCTGATGTCCGGTACGCTCAGATCGCAGTGCAACATCAGAACAACAGCAATAAATACTGATATGATGAGTAATATTAGCATTTAAACCCTGTAAAGCCTGACATTTGAAGTAATAGTCAGAAAAATCTTTTTTTAAATTGAACAGAATTTAGTCGAAATCTAAATCTTTTTTTTTTTGAGCAGCATATTTGATACATCAGGATTTATTACATTACATTTACACTGCTCCGGGTGTGTGTTCACGGTGTGTGTGTGTGTTCACTGCTGTGTGTGTGCACTTTGGATGGGATAAATGCAGAGCACTAATTCCAAGTATGGGTCACCATACTTGGCCACATGTCACGTCACTTACATTCAGTCATTTAGCAGATGCTTTTATCCAAAGCGACTTACAAATGACAACAATAGAAGCAATCAAAATCAATAAAAGAGCAATGATACGCAAGTGCTATAACAAGACTCAGTTAGCTTAACGCAGCACACGTAGTATATAGTGCAAATATGGAGGAACAACAGCTCCGTTTTAAGAGACTCAGACTGAGCAAAAATATTCAGTTTGGTGCATGATATTTATATGCACAAAAGTTATGAAATTCAGATGCTTGTGATGTAAATCAATGAGATCTTTATAACAGCAGAGCAGATACTGACATAAAATGATCTAAATATCTGTCTCTGTATCTCCAATAACATGTCTTAATAAGATGAGATTGAAATGCTCCAAACATATAATGCAGTGATTGAGAGCTGAAGAAATAAAGGCTCCTCAGAAGATGTGAGATGTTCTGGAGGCTTGTGAAGATCATTCCTCCGCTGAGGAACAGTGAAAGTAAAGCTTCTGGAAACAAACGCTCCTCAAAAGATCCTGAGGATCAGATTTGAGACTCTAAAACATGATTGATGGAGAATCAAGTAAAGCTGAGCTGCTTCAGTCCAGTAAGTGTTCATCTGGAAATATGACTGCATGCAGTTAAACTAAAAGAGCTTAAAAAAAACCCTCTAAACTATCAATCAGACGACAGAAGGCATGGAGTAGATTGTGTGCGACAGGTTTAACAGCAAAGGTTGATCATGTTGATTATTTAGAGACCTTGGAGACCATTGTCAGTGTTTAACTGGTTTGATTGTACTGCTTATCTTGTTTTGTGCAGCATTGGTGTCATGCATTGCTTTTTCACTCTCACATACAGTTCTCATATATATGTATTAAGTTTAACTTAAAGCTCATTTATTCTATGTTCACTATAGTTTCTCTATCAAACTGCTCAATCTATCAGTTCGTGTGAATGATGTGCATTTCTCTGGATTCCCTTCTTGCCTGACGTCAGTCGCCATTTGTGACGGTTACCACGGCAACCACTAGCCTCCCCTAGAGATATATCTAGTGATGAATTCAGTTCTGATGTTGCCTTTTGCATTTGCAGTACTGTACATACTGTACACCTGTGGCTCTTACTATGGTAAATATCTTTGCAGCATTGCTGGCCAAAAATGTATTGAATGCCTTTTTGACAAAAATATTTTTTGTACCTTTAGAATAGATATTCTCTGAAAATAAAGTATTAGCATTCATTTTTCAGGTTATTTTAACATTACTATTTTAGAAGACACATTTGGATATATGCCTGTGTTTGAGACAACAAAAGCAGGGTATGCTCTCCATATTAACACGTCTATTTATAGCCACTGCTGCATCTTTTTTTAGATCATGCAATTGATGTTCTGCTGTTTCTGGCGACCTGGTGCTCGTCCTTCACAGTCATCATGATTTTTCTAATGCATGTAGTGTTAGAAAATATTTGACAATCATATTTCCCTATAGAAATGACAGATATACAGTATGATTCTGATGTTGATAATAACAATATGAGCGCAGCTGTGACCCCATCTGGCCGAAATCCTGAAACCTTTTAAGAAGGGTAAAGCCCTGAAAGACCCCATACCATCTCTGACAGAGAACAGATCGCTTTCAACTCACTGCATCGATTCTACACCCACTGCTCACTTTCATTGATGCCATTAAGTATTAAGCATTTCCAAATGTGCAGTGCATTATCATAAATTTTGAAATTGAGTTTTTGTTTAGTGAATTAAACATAATATACAATATAATGATAATGTGTGCAGTTTTTGTGTAATGCATTTATATCGGTGCAATACGTTTGTGGTTGCATGTGCAAAAATAGTGTATATAGTACTACAGCTGCATGATTAATCGAAATAAAACCAAAGTCACGATATGGCTTAGTGCGATTATCAAAATGCAAAGACTGATTTTTATTGCGTGTTTCACAGTGAAGCGCAGCACTGTGTTCATTTATATGCTTACGGGATACCTGCGGTTTTCCATCAAAATAAAAATGTGTTGGTTTAACTCTGAAAATGAAAAAATGAAGACAGGCATAAATATTAGTATTGTAATTTTACACTTACAATTTAAAATAAAATTATTGTTATTTTTCTTAAATATTCTTTTGATTTTACAGTGAAATATTACAACAGTAATATGTATTTTGCTTAGTGCTTTAGTAATTTTTATATTTTTTATTTAATAATAATATTAATAATAATAATTTGTATTATTTTATAGCCATATTGATATAATCACAAAATTTTGTCCGAATTGTGCAGCCCTAGTCCAATAATATTTATTTTGTTTTTATTTAGTAATTCTAATATTTTTATTTAGCAGCAGTAGTAGTAGTAGTAATAATAATAATAATTATTATTATTATTATTTATAGCCATATTAATATAATCACATTTTGGCCAAATTGTGCAGCCTTAGTCCAATATTAATATTTCTTAATCTCTTTTTATTTAGTAGTAGTAATAGTAGTAGTAATAATAATAATAATATTCTATAGCTATACTGACATAATCACTCGATTTTGTCCAAATCTGGCATCCATACAAACAAGCACATCAAACCTGCATTTTTTCTTTTTTTTTTTAAATCGCATTTTTTTTCTCAGAAAAATCATAATTAGTCTTTTTTCCCCAAATCGTGCAGCCCTACTGTATATAGTACACATTATTACGATGCACACAAAATGTTGATCTGCCTGTCTATCCGTTTGTCTATCATACACAACATAGTACAATACATGCCAATAAAGTCGCAAAATAACGTCAATGATATTCGAGTTTTAAATTAGAACAACGTATGAATGTTTCCGAGCATTTAAGAGTAGGAATGTAACTTTTACTACAACAAAACAATGCAAGCTTCCTCGCGAGACGCAAACACGCAGCGGATACGTTTCCTGTTTCTCCTGCAGGCGCTTTGTTGAGGCAGCGGATGGACTGTACCATTCGTCTGTAGGGGAACCCGACCGCGCTAACAGCTGCCGTCCTGACTCTGCTCACACGAAAAACACACAATTTGCAGTTATATCGTAGTTTTATACATATATTTACTAATTTAAATCACATTTGTGCTTTTATACAGTGATTTTAGCATGTTGTAGATAAGCGGTGTTTGTCGGTTCCCCCTACGCCGCGCTTGTTGCCATGTTCCCGGTTCCCTTATGGGTGTGGTGAAGAGATTGCTGGCAAAAATTGCCTCAGTTTGCGTGAGGGGCTGCGTGGCCCTTTAAATGTGTTTAAAATTGACTTCCAATGAATTATTCTGCTTTGAAATTTATCTGTGCGCATATCAACATGCAAGGGATCTGAAAGAAGCGGATTTTGCCCAAACTAGCCTGATCAGGTGAGGGGAAAAAACAACCGTCCGCCGTGTTTCTCTTTTCTCGTCTATTTCCTGCTTGTAAACTGTGATTTACTTACACCGCTGAACTCGTTTGTACTGTTTTTGGGGGTCAGTGATGGATTGAATCTCGATTTAGTAGCTAATTAGTTCAATTATAATCGGCTAGTTATGGTTGAGAGTGAAGAGGCAACAGGAGGCCCGAGAAACACAAGAGTTCAGTTTGAATTTTAACGGTTTTTTAACATGTTAAGTGCTTCCTCGCACTAGCTAACCATCTAAATTGCTAGTTTGGTGAAGTTGTTAAATATCTAGGTGATAAATTAAAGGTAGTAGGTTTAAATCTCAGCTTGGTTGTCATATCGTGTCAATCGACACACAATCTCAAGCTACTATAGTAAACACGAACGGTTGTTTTTGAATCAAAGTCTTGCTTGGATGAATACATGTGAATGCACTCTGCAAGTAAGTGTATTTAGGAGTTATATCTTCCAGCTAAGTTGACATAATTAATTTTAAAATCGTATTTTGTGAATGACACCAATAGCTGAGATTGTTTGAGCAGAAGCTAATAGTTTTACTTTCACTTTACCTTAGTCTGTTTCGATTTAGCTAAAGTTTTTTTATTTAGAACTTGAATTATTTAGATATTTTCGGGCCTTATATGCTGTTTTGCTCTGATACAGTCTTCTGATGCAATAATCGTAAATATTGTTGGTTAACAGTGGTTAATTTTAACTTATTTTCAAGGTTAGAACGGTCTAGCATGTATTATATTTTCAGTATTTCATATTTCAGTATTTATTAGGTGATCTCATTTTTTAATATAAGTTATATATATATACACGTGTTAGATTTGATTGGCATTGTGTGTAATATCATTGAGTTCCTCTTCCCAGCAGGCAAATATTTATGTTTTCTAACTAAATAAAAGCACACAGGTTCTCATTCATGTATCTCATGTCTCTTGAAACAGCTGTTTTCTGACATCAGGTTTTCAAGAGCTGATTTTAGTGTTTTATTTGTTAATGAAAATCCATTTGAACACACTAAAATATTGATCTAATATATATATTTTAGGGAACCCCTTCAGCCTAAAATATTAATTGAAATCTTTCCTGATATTTTAAGTTAACATTACAACACATGCACATGTTAATGGTCTTCAGAGGTTGGTTAATGGTTGCGTGACATGCAAGTAAACAAATAAAATGTATAATATTTTTAGGAAGTACCGTATTGGCCCGAATATAAGACGACCCCACTTTTTCCAGATATACCTTTTGGAAAAAGGCTTTTTAAAAACCAACTTTTTAGGAAGTACCGTATTGGCCCGAATATAAGACGACCCCACTTTTTCCAGATGTACCTTTTGGAAAAAGGCTTTTTAAAAACCAAATCTTGTTTTTTCTCAGTAGAACACATTTTGTCTTTCATTATTTTCATATTGCATATTTTTCCTATTTTAATTTTTGTTTTGAAAGTATGGTAAAAACTGGTCAAATGTACCAACAATCACATTTAAAAAAATATACACTTTTTGATATACCATTAAAAAAAAAAAAAAAACAGGTAGCCCATCTGAATTAGGACATTTTGGCTATCCATCTAATAGTAGCAAACCAAAATCTTATTAAGAGTAGAAGTTAAATCTTACTGTAGTCTTCAAATCTGGGTACTGTCTTACGTTTTAAAATCACAAAGGGAGTTTGGTCCCATCAGGCTAACGTGACAGTCACGACTCATGCAGCTGTAAGGTTTTCTTTTTCTTTTGTTTTTACTCGCGATCTTTACAACACGCATTACGTTACGTATTTCATGGCTCACTCGTTTTATGCGTATTTGTCGCCAACTATTGTTGTGGGTGTATTATTGACATGTCAAAGTCTAGACCCTGAATATAAGACGACCGCGTTTTTTCAGATGTATTTCCAAGAAAAAAACATCATCTTATATTCGGGTCAATACGGTATTTTATTTTGATTGAATTAAATTTAAAATTATTTCTTTTCATTTGACATTTTTGTAATTTACTTATTAGCTTTTCAATTTCATCAGCTCACACCCTCCCCCCCAAAAAAAAAAAAAGGCCTAAAATAGAATATATTGTCACATTGATAAACTGATGCTAGACTTACATGAGTAACACTTTCAGGAAACATTTTCAATCTCTAATCACTTGTAAAATCACTCAGCATTACATAAAAGCTAAAAACCGAAACAAGAGGTGTATTGTTAAATGTTTCCCCATTGCTGAAGTTTATCATGATGGTTTTGGTATTAAAAATATGGAGGGTGTTGTTGGTCTGGTAGTGGTTGGGCGGAATAACCAATTACTTACATCATGGTATGAGTAATTTTATATCATGATAACAGTATATTTCATGATCTAGCTATTTTTATTGAAAATTCAATGGATAAAAAACATTTTTAAATATAACCATGTGGTAATGCCTATTTTTTGAAGGATCATGTGACACTGAAGACTGCAGTAATGATGCTGAAAATTCAGCTTTGCATCACCGGAATAAATTACACTTTAACATAGATTCACATAGAAAACAGCATTTGAAATTATAATAATATTTCAATTTTTACTGCACTTTTGATTAAATGAATGCAGCCTTGGTGTGCAGGAGAGACTTCTTTCAAAAACATTTAAGAAATCTTAAATGTTCTAAACTTTTGGTAGTGTCAAAAAAAACCCTGTTTACATTTTTAGTAACTTTTGAGTAAATATTCTGTAAATGAGCTAATGCACATTGAAATACTATAGAAGGTGATGCTTAACTCGCTAACTGTATCCATGGCAAGTTATTTTATTGGACATTCGATGGCGTTTCATTGGAATTTTTCCAACTTGCTGGACACAAAGTAAAAGATCATCAAAAGTTTATTGGCTTATAGTCATAGACAGCTAACTAAACTCCAGTTTAAGTTCTGTCAAATGACACCCTTAGTATGAGAGACGCTGGACTGGTAACCAAAACCATCAGTCTAGTATTTACTTCTCTAATAACCTAGTTACTGAAAACTCACAGACGCTGTTTGAGTTTGTAGTAGATCTTTTAACTATTAAAACGCATTCATGTGGAATCAAAGGTGAGCGAAACATCAGAGATGCGGACGGATGCCTGATTTGACGGAAAGGTCAGTGAACATATGGGTGGCATTTGGCAGCAGTTGGTGGTGTTTTGAAGAACCTTTGAGCTCAGAGTAATTTCCCACTGCTCTCAGATCAGTCTGTGCATGTAATTAAAGTTGCTGGAATGGATTTGGTCAAAGGAAGCTGGTCCATTTGTAATTGCATTTTAAGGGATTTCATGATTGCATGCATCACTAGTGCAATGTTTGATTGACGGGTGAGTGCATGCAATGTAGGAATGATGTCATTGTATGATGCATGATTGCAGGTCCAGCACGTTGTCGTCTCGGGTGCCGGTCAAACAGGAACAATGAGTGAGTTGGAACAGTTGCGACAGGAAGCAGAACAGCTTCGCAACCAGATCCGGGTAAGTGTTTGGACCGACATGCAACAAAAGGAAGCGTTCATATGAGAGGACATCTATGTAGACTGTACACTTCCTGTGCTGTTTATTTAGATTGGCAAGTTTTGTCTTGAATTGCATTTGTTGTTGTTGTTTTTCAGGATGCTAGAAAAGCCTGCAGTGACTCCACACTTTCGCAGGTACGAAACAAAAATCATTAACGATTGCACCGTCATGCATCACATTTGCTAAATACAATCCAATAGTCGTTTCTTACTAATTTTGAGCTGCTTATACCAAAAATAGTGACAGTTTTGCTCAAGCATGTCACACTTTTTCACTAAATTTGATGCATTTTGTTGCATTGTTTTTGACAACCATTTGTAAGGTGAAGAAGTCTTGTATTTTCACTTAATCAGGAGAAAAGCACCACAAAGACATGATTCATGTCTTCATCTGAGCCAGAATACAACTATTTGTTCAATTATCAGCCCATTTTTACTTGTATTAATGATTTTGAAGACGTTATTTTATGCATAATCCTGATTATGGCCAATGACTGAAGAAAATGCAAACTAACAGATGTTTTCTGCTACATCTGTGGAATGTGTTTCACTGCATCCAAACAGCCACAGAAAGATAACAGATTTTGTGGGGGGAAAAAAAGCTGTTCTTTGACATTAAATGGAATATTTAGACAAACTTACTTTGCAGATTGTAAGTTAAACGACTCATTTTAAATTTGTTTTATCTTGAAAACAAAACTTTTGACATTTGACTGCTTTTGTTATTTTGTGCATTAAAGCTGATCTGAAAGAGACCACTTGAAAATTCTCAGTTTCTCTGGAATTTTGATTTATAGTTAAGTGTTTATTTAAAACATATTTTTTTGTTTTATTCTGTAAACTACTGATGACATTTCTTCCCAATTTTAAATAAAAATGTGGTCATTTAGAGCTTTTTTTGCATAAAATGACAACTGGTCAAAATAACAAAAATGATGCCATGTTTTCAGACATGTTTATATTCATTTTTAGACAAAACAATACCAATGTTTTAACTTCAGAAGAGTTAAGAAATCAGTATTTGGTGAAATATAACCCTGATTCACAACAAATGAAAACATTTGATATTTTGACTAATTGATCATTCTCTGAAAAAAAAAGACAATATTTGTATTTAAAATTTGGAATTGTTATCAGATAGTATAAAACAAATATTAACATTTTACTCAAACCCATACCTAGTAAATCCAGAGAAACTGAGAATTTAAGTGGTATCTTAATATTTTACACGCACGCATATATATATTTTTTTTGTTTTGTGAAAAAAATGAAAATTTTTGATATTTTTGAACTTGAAATCATCAAATTATGTAATATTAGGCCTTTTTTGCCAATCAGAAGAATTTTTTACAGATATTATTCATAGATATCATCCAGTTCATCTACAGACCTCCTTAAAAATCTGTTTTTGTTTTCTGCCTTTTTAGTGAATTTTGAGTAAATATTCTATAAATGAGCTAAACGCACATGAAATGCTATAGAAGATGATGCTGAGCTTGCTAACTGTACTGATGGCAGCTCTACACATTGGACTAGAAGACATCTCTAATGGGAACTGATGATGTTGTGTGATCTTTAATCTCTTGCTGTTTTGGGCTCATATGGCAGATGACAGCGAGCCTGGACTCAGTGGGGCGGATACAGATGAGAACGAGACGCACGCTCCGAGGTCATCTCGCCAAAATCTACGCCATGCATTGGGGCAGTGACTCCAGGTGTGTGTTTGATTGGAGGGTCTCTAACCATCACGATTGCTTTTAGATACAAAAAACTGCTTTAAACACTCTGGGCTGGTCTCCTTTCAACTGTGTGATTAATATTTCATGAAATAACGCTTGGGACCCTGGTGTTCGTTTTCCGTGGAGCTGTAATAAGGCCTTTCCCACCATGTTGCTCAAATCCCATCTGTGTCCCATATTAATTACATTTCGTTGATTGAAAAATAGATCGGCTGCAGTGTGGATATTTATAATTTCTGTGCCTTTTTTCAGGTTACTTGTCAGTGCCTCCCAAGATGGCAAACTCATCATATGGGATGGTTATACGACCAACAAGGTAATGAGATACTAGAGCTGTGTACACTGGGGGGAAAAATTATAACATTGTTTTATTCAAATTAAAAATGTTAATTATCATCACCGACCTAAACACATTCATTTATACAGACAAAGATCATTTTCATGGGTTGAATCAGGTATAACATGCTCTGTAAGGGAATAGTTCAAATGTACTGAAAATGTGCTCCCCTCAGGCCATCCAAGATTAGGATGAGTTTGTTTCTTCATCAGATTTGGAGAAATGTATTATATCAGTGTCTCAGCAATGGATGCTCTGCAGTGAATGAGTGCCGTCAGAATGAGAGTCCAAACAGCTGATAAAAACATCACAATAATCCACAAGCAATCCACAGCACTCCAGTCCATCAGTTAGCATCTGGAGAAGACAACAGCTGAAACAAATCCATCATTAAGACATTTTTAACTAAAGTCCGAGTCCATAATCCATAATAACGCTTCCTCCAGTGAAAAAGT